GTACATCTAAAGGATATGGCATCGACCAGCTTATCGAGTGTGGACTTAATTATGATACAATAACGAACAAATTAAAAATGGAATAACTAGGGCAAACTTAGTGGAAAACTCGATAGGGTTGCTTGCGGGCGACCAAGAATGCTATGATCTATTTAGTGACCTTATCGATCTTGTTATCTGTGAGATTCATAATATTGACCAGATAAATAGTTTAAGATCAGAAATGAACTTGAACTGGAAGGAAATTCAAGGTGGAAAGTTTTACAGCGGGTGATTAGGTGCTCTCCTGTGGACTAAGCACTATTCGAAATATACAAGGCCCGGATTCAGTATGATTCCCGGATGTTCAACAGCAGAGTTATTAGATGCTAGTCAGTCACCTAATAGTGGAAAGTTAAACTTCTATTAAAAGGTAAGAATTTAATGTTATGATTGTTACATTCAGCCCCAGAATGGCTCCATCACCCGCCTCCCCCACGACTGGGTCATTTGTCGGACATTTCTAGGATCTGAGTGCTCATTAAAGGTCTGCCCGAAGCTGAAATTTTAGTCATTAGAGAGGTTAAGCATCACGTTTACGTCAAACGCAAACGCGAATTTGTACCACGTGACCAAGTTTCCCCTTTTCTTGTCGCCTACTGTTCATTATTTCTACACATAAATTAGTAGTTTCACGCCATTTTTTGTCAATAAGAATTGGTTTGAATTGTTTTCATCTGCTCATTTTCTATTTTAGGAAATTCTCAACTTCAATATGACGTTTGCCGTAAACTCTCTATTAATGAGAGAATTTCACATTTTCGTCTTCTTCCAGAAAAGCAACATATACAGTAAAAACCGGCATATAACGTGGCTTTGTATTCTGTATTTGGTAACGAAAATTTTTTCTTTGCAAAAAAGGAAGTCACTGCCCCAAAAGTAGCAAAGTGAGGAACGGTCTACCATCATATGAGATAAACATAATGACATGTCATATTTCTTACTGTTGCGGAATGGTAGACCGTGGATTAATGGTAGACCGTCAGAAAATGTAGTAGATGAAAAAAAAAAAAAAAAAAAGAAACTGAACGGTTGTACTTTTTCTGCGGTTTTTAAAAATAAGTCACGCGGTATATCGATTACATGACGACATTGCATATCAAATGTCATTGCGTTACAGATACTGGGGTGAAAATGAAGGTTTGGTAGCTTTATTCGCAACTATAATATCTCTACATACCAAGAAAAGGAAAATTATGCTGTGATTAAGCATTCATACTTCTCAGAGTTTAATCACAACCCCTGAACTTTAAGCCATGCATGTCACAGTAGATGACAGCACTGCGTTACAACAAAACTGAGGCAAAGTTTAAAAGTCACTACATTCATAAGCGCTTTTTTATGCAGTTTTCGATCAATGACAACGATGTATCAACGAAAAACAACAGAAAGTGCCACTCAATTCATTTATGTCGCTATAGTCTTCGTTTTGGAACTAAGACTTCAATGAGACAACCAGTTGCCAAAGTACTTGAGACACTGCACCGTGGCCTATCAATGATCTTTTGCTTGTGATTCCCCCTCCACCCCTTATTAAAGTTTGTAGCATTACAAGATGATGCTCAAAACTTGGAAAAAAACAACTTTGAATGGAAGGGCAGGGAGAGAGGTCAGTATTTATATCCACAGACCTGTGACTAGCAACGATTTGAAGCAAGAAAGGTCGTGTTTTCGTGGGAGTGTCTTAACATTCAGTTTGCAACTGGTTGTAGCTTTAAAGCAAGCTCTCCACAAAGTGGGGGATATCACACACCCGAGCACCAGCGAAAGGAGACACTTGGATACAAACTCGTTCCTAGGGTTCTCTCCTACTCGTAAGTAGAAAAAATCCTGGGAACGAGGCTGGCTTAGCTCGCTCGTCTAAATGGAGGGAAATCACCAAATGTTGTCATGATGTCCAAGTGGTAGGCGAAATTAGCCACGAGAGAGAGCTCGTGCCACGCTTCACTCGCCGCACGCGCGCGCGTGACCCCTCGTGATTCTCAAATGGAGAGCAAGACTTGCCAACACGTGGAAGGTCCCACATCATAAACTGTAAGCGAGGCGGGAAAACGAGAGGCACGCGCGAGGAAGAGGAGTGAGGGACTTTGCAAAAGTCTACAAATGGAGAGCTTGTTTATCGTTCCACTCTCCCATGGTTAGCTGCTTGAAGACAAATGTCTTGGCCAGAAGAGGCAGCACCAAGGATAACCAGATGTTTTCCTTGAAAGACTTCAGGATGCCGATAATCATGACTGTGCATAACAAGCCCAGGGAAAGACTCCAGATCAGGAATGACTGGCATTTGAGGAACAAAATAATGTCTACAGGAAAAAAAGGGAATCAAAAATAAATAAAAAACCTGAGAGGTGGTCTCCTTGAAAAATGCCCCCTTGCCAAAAGTCGGCCTGTTAGTGCAAATTCGTGGGGAAATTAATAAGCACTGTTATGTTCGGATAACCTCATATAAATTTCTCTGAAACAGGCCTGGGACACTAACGTAAACCAATTTCAGATCTAGTAAGGGCAAATGACATATTAAGTGTTGTTAAATAATTCAGAAAATATCCAAAAGCAAACTCACCCATTACAAACAATTACAGCTTCAAAGAGTAGAACTTGAGACTCCTTAGTATCAGCATCTCTAAGAACAGACAGAACAATTCCCACAGTGGCTTTTGGCTGTCTTTTCCTTCCAGTGGACGAACACTGTTGATATTGGAGTTGAACTGAATGTATTTGTACAAGTCAAAATGACTGGCATAATCTTGTAAGTATTTGAGAACTTGTTGATGACTTAAAAATGAGTTCCACTCCGAAGGAAATGGAAAATCAGGAAATGCCATCACCTCTCTGGGCAGATTTATTCTAAAAAAACAAAAACAATGAAAAAAATTAAGCCTCTATTCTTTTAAGCTGTACTTTTACTTTTCGTATACTATACAAGGCCGTTTGCAATGCAACAACAATAATTGTTGCATTGTTAGGTGATAATAAGGATTTAATCAGTTGGGCAGAGTCTGTCTCCCTACACTCTAGATTTTGTAGCTCCACATTGTGTAGTAGATGGTATTTTAATTTTCTTTAAATATATTTGTCAGGTGAGAGACTGGAACCAAGAAATAAGAGAATTGGCACTGCACTTTAACTACTAAATGGATGAGTTTCTATGACAACAATTAGCAGGGATGTCATTATCTTTCAAAGCAGGCATTTGCATCAAAATGTCCAACCCTCACATTTTCATGCCTGAGTGCTATCTCTTCCTCAGCTGATGGTTGTCACCCCCCCTCCACACACACAACATTTGTTATTCGGATTTTTTGTTAAATTTGACTGTAAACACTTCTGGGAGTGAAAGGGCTAAGTCAAAAAACCATCAATGTGATACATGTATTAGGCTTTCAGTCTTTTTATTTCTTATCTAAAATTGTTTAAGCTTTTAATTTAAATTATGCAAAATTATACTAAATATTTTCACTTTGGAAGAGACCATTTTGACCAACCTTTACATTAATTTGTGTGTTAGAGTTGCTGTTTTCTATCAAAATTTAACTTCATCAGTTTTCTTGTATGTTACATCATTTTCATAAACTGATGATGTAAAAGTTAGATGCACAAGGCTGTCACTAAGATTGCAAGTTGCAGGGTAAATGAAATTAGTGAGCGGGACATTGAAGGGGTGAGAAAATGTTTATTTTTAAATAAATTTTCCTTTCGTTTCCTCTCAAAATAGCCAAGTATAGGGCTCAAAGTAGCCAATTTAAAGTCTGGTTTATGGCCCTTAGTGACAGCCCTGGAACCACCTTTGTGAGGACTTTCTGTCACCAACATCCCATACCAGGCTGATCTGCTGAATGAATAGAAAGCAAGACAGTATTATTTGAGTACACTACACAGATTACTTGTAGGCTAGTGATAAGACACTTAATTGGGCACTAAAGGTACAAGTACATGTACAGTAAGGGGGTGTTTACATGAGAAAACTCGCACCGGCACGAGTCTCATACTAGGATGACTGTTTGATTTCGTATCGGGTTTACATCATGACTGAGTCATTTCATATCTTGTTATTTGAAGGTACACTTCATGTTGATAAAATACACGTGTGATTCAAAATCGCAAACATTACGCATGCGCTACCCATTCCAGTCTGATCATTTCACGTTTACATGATACTGCTGCGAAATATCGTACCGGAGTGAAATTCTCGCCCTGGTACAAGAACCGGGGTGAACTCATGTTCATGCCGGGGTGACTCGCGCCGGCATGACAATTTGTGGTGGTATCATGTAAACAAATATAGAGCCATGAGAGGTAACCGAAGAGAACTCACTACGGGGCGAAATTCGCCCCGGTGTCATCACAGGCAGCCCAAGCGCACTATTTGTGGGTTCTGGCTTCAGAGGTCATTTGGTCGGAATATACTAGAATTATTAGTGTATTATCTGATGCCAAATAAATGCAAAAAGTCTTAAAGATATGAAGTCTTCTTGTTTGTCTATCTGTACTAGTAGCCTTTAAGATAACGAAAATCGATATTTCTTGCATTATTACATGTGATTCGGGCCCTTAGTGTTCGAATTTTATCACATGTATTCGAATCTACAACGCTAAGAAAAAAAAAATCATGATCACGCGAAATATTGATTCAAAAAGCTCGCTTACCTTTAGTTCATAGCCACTCTGTGTCCTACGGTCGTAGCGTTTGCTCTTTCATTTCCCATAATGCAACCTGTTTTCCCACGAATTGTTTTCAACTTTTCCTGGGACTAACAATCGTCCCTTGAGAAATTAAAACCAAAAGTTATGCAGAACTTAGTGGGGGAAGTCGCAGATTTCGATCCCAGAGCCCTTTTCTATTGTGCTTGACAGAGACAAATCAAAAGCGTGAGGTCTGAGGTCGAGATCTGTCTTCCTCTCGCTCCAACTATTTGTTCGTCCTCCTCGCCTTTCATGCATTATAAGCCCACCAGGAAATTATGGATCAAGAAAAACGTCTGGACCTACACCATGTATCTCTTGCCAATAACTATAATCTTGACAAAACTGGCGAGTTTTTGACGCAGTTACACCAGGCAACTGGTTTCACAGAAGATCAAGTAGCAAACGCGGAAGTGCTCAAGAACCAGCTGAACTTGCAGGATGAAGATGCAACGATCAAGCAATTTGTGTTTCAAAGCCAGTGTTTGATTCTGGGAGACTCAGGAGCTGGTAAAACAAGTCTTGTTAACTCACTCACAGGAAAACCTTTCGATCCTAGTCAAACCAAGACTCGGAAAATGCAACAGAAACTGGTGGACGAAAAGTGGAAAAACTTGGACATGAAGGATCTCCTGTTTGGTAGTCTGTGGTGGTTTTGCAATAGACTTTGTGTGCAACTGACCTTGTATGGGCCGGCAGAACACCGAAACATTGTTCTTCGAAACTTGAATTATTGGACAAACGTACTTCCTGAAGTTAAAACCATGATGAGATCTATAATTCTTACATTTTGCCTGTTGTCTATTGCCCCTGGAACCGAGTTCATCCGTCTCCTACATGCAGTACTTGTAGTCCTACTCATTATTTCATCAAATATTGTTTTTTTATACTTTTTAAACTACAATCACACCATTAGGTTAATAGTAACGACAGTTGCCTTCACTTTCAGGACTCATGGATTGCTGATAGGTGCTTTTTCAGCTTTAACTCTAGTATGTTATCATTATGGAAAGATTTCTCTTGGTGTCGATGGCTGCCTCTTGATTCTTCTTACTTGGGGCCTTGTGATTGTTGTACTCATCCTCTCATGTTTGGGAATCACATGGCATTGTCTATATCCAAGACAACTGAAGTTTAAGTATCAATCTTCTCTGAGAATTGTTTGCTTCATGCCATTCCTACTTTCTGTATTAGTTGGCCAGGTGACCTTTAGTGCTTTAGCGATACTTTTGATCAACTACTGTACAGTGCTTGGCCTTTCAATTAAGAATCCTGATGAGTTTGTTCAATCACTTGTGTCAGTGTTCAGTTTTTGGTGGACAGCTGAATTACTTATATCAGCATATACATATATCAAAATTATACTATTTAAGTGGTTTAGTAGAGGCATTTTCAAAGTTGCAGTCACATGCATTTTAATTGCCGTGTATATTTTCTTATTCATTCAGCTTTTCAACATGTACTGGTATCTGTCTTTCAATAGTACAATATTTCTAATTTTCCTGTGTGACAGCCTTTTTAGAGACCAGCTGAATATGCAGGAATTAGGAATTGAAGGTAACATGTTCACTTTAGTTGTTATTGAAAAACAAGAGCTACAAACGAAACAGCTCAAGATTGCCCTACATGAGAAGTTTTCCTCAATTAAATTGAGGATCCTTGATTTTCCTGGAGATAAGGAATATCATCCTTACTATCAAATATTTCTTAGAAAAAAGGCTTTTTATGTCATTGTATTTAACATGGCCAATTTTGCAGAAAATGATTTCAATGGAATTGATTCCAAATGTAACCGATTACAGTTTTGGTTTGAAACTCTCTGTAGCCAAGTCCCACCCAATCCTCCAATTTTCCTGGTAGGAACTCAAAGAGGAGACATGGATAGGAACAACATTAAAAGATTAGATGAACACCTAAGAAGCTGCCTTTGGAATACATACTGTGATGAGCTAGTGGTAAATGACACTGAGGACCTGGTTTTTTTTCCTATTGAGAATTCGAAAAGGAAGGAGGAAAGTGGAGTTCGAGTTCTCCAAGAGAAAATTACCACTGTGGCCTAAAACGTCAAGGAATCCTTCAGTCGTAAGATTCCTCTGTCCTGGGTTAGAGTACAGGATGCAATAATCAGCCTCAAGGAAAAGAAAGGCGTTAAGTTCTGTTTACGCCTTGAAGAGTTTTCTAATGTAGTTGACAACTTTGACAACTTCTGTTCCACTAACTGGTCCACAGAAATCCTCCAATATTTTCATGAAACAGGTCTGGTAATTTACCTTGAGAGAGATCAGGATCTTGATCTGTCAAAATGGATACTCCTCAAGCCTGAAATATTGGTTGATATCATTATCCAACTTGTCACACCATCACCACAGATGATCCAGGAGAGAGGATTAAGGCATGACTGGAATCTCTTGCAAAAAAAGGGACTGTTGACAAAATCACTTCTGAAGAACATCATCTCAAAGGTAAAGGAAAAAGTAGAAGCCATGACTGCATTTCTTGAGGAGTATGATTTGATCTACCCCTTGGCAAACAGTAGGGTGAACATGCTCAGAGTGTGTGAAGGTGAAGAGCAGCCAACACACTTTGTACCCTCCTTGTTACCAATGGCCTCAGAAAGGGACACACCCATATGGTATGATGACGACACTGATAAGAAGTGTTATGTATTCTTTACCAAGTTCCTACCTGAACCTCTGTTCCATCATCTGCTATCTCGTGCTCACAAGCTTAGTAAGGTTGAGTTTCCTAATGGTCATACAGTTTTGTTCAGAGATGCTGGCATGTTCTGGTTGAGTCCTGGGCAACCTTACAGTCTCAAATATTGATGAGGGAAGAGAAGATGATTGAAGTCACATACAGCTGTAGGTAAGCTGGTCCTTTCAGTAAACACAGGTCTGCACATTCATAAAAGGGTGTTTAATTTTATTTGAAATGATTTTCACAAGAAAATAATATTGATTTATGAATCTGCTTATTTTTAATTGTTCTGTTCATTGGGTTGTTGTTCAAAGCATTCTTAGTTTTTATCAACACAGCAAATAAGAGAGGCCCAGTCTTCACACCTAGTACACAAACTTTTTAGTGTAACCAGAAATGTCAGTTAAAGGAACTTTAATTGGTCATGTTTGCGAATAGCCTGTAAGATGACCGGACAAAGGATATCTGTTTAAGGATCAAAGGATAGTGTTGCCTGACAAAAAAATGTAGGCTAGTTCCAAATCTACATGATGGCATCTTTGAAGTTTGGTGACACTTGAGAATATTATTGTAGGTAAAAAGATGATTCACAGTAGAAATGGCTTCCTGTTGACAGGCATGTTTGCAAAACAAACAAAATTTTGCATAGTGTGATCAGGGCCTAATGTAGCAATAATTTTATAATGCAATTTGCTATCAAGGCATCTGGGTTAAGGTCTTTGACTTACATTGAATAGCCAAGGAGGTACATGGACATAGGAGTATGCATAAAATTAGACAGCAGGTGCCTTTGGCACAAACGTATTGTATAGCAGTTAAACAGTGATATGGCAAAGGAAAAGCAAAGACAACAACAACAACAACAACTTTTCTATTTTCTAAGCCAGCTTTTTTACTCATCTACTTCAGAATCTTCAAAATTATCCCATGACTTTGTTTTCCCAAGTAATTGAGCCGGTGGTACAGACATTTTCAGCTGCATGGTGAAATTATCCGGCAGCTGGTACTTAGTGACATCCCTTAATAAGATGAGAGTAAACAAGAATACTGTTGTTTCCTTAATCAGATCAGATAAGCGTATGAGGCCATCAGATGTACTGTGTCAAGTATTTTCCATGGTTGAAGGAATCTGCAAAAGGGACTTCCCTTTTGTCAAGTTCCACTGTGGCCCTGCATGTCCCTTACCCAATTGCCCAGGTCATCAACCAAACTATGTTTCACAGTCAGTTGGAGAGGAACAAGTGCTACGCAAGCATGTGTTTGATGTTATGCCTGGACGTCAGAGAGACAGAGTTTCCTTTATGTACTGTCAAAACCATAGTTTTGAAGATGAGTTGGATGAATGGATTCCTTAGACAGAATGGTCAGTATATTACTTTTTTCTTACTTAAATGAACATAGGTGGACAAAATCTGTGGTACCAGTAAATGTAAAGAACAGCTCTATATAAACTCACCTCTTAGATTACAGGCAGGTACAAAAGTCGGACCGGATCAACTCGGACCGCCAGTCTGGGTCGGATCAACTCAGATCGACTCGGACCAACTCGGATCGAATAAAAACATAAAGATGAAATAAAATTCGACTCGGATAAACTTGGATCATAAAAAAAAAAACAACTTGGATCACAAAAAGAAAAATAAAATCAGTCGGCATCACTTACCTTTCACCCGCCATTTTGTTTTTTTTCTCAGGAACTCGTGGTTGCGTAAGTAAATTTTATTTTTATTTTTATTACTTTTAATGATACACTAGTGAGCAGCACACATACATTTCCAGTGAACATTTTCAACTTGGAAGGAGGAGAAACCATGCTCGCCCGGGACAAAGAAAATTTCCATGCCCCAGGCAAGAATCAAACTCGCGACCCTCCGGTTCAGTGGTTGGAACATCCGATATAGGATTCGGAGGGTCGTGAGTTCAATTCTCGCCCTGGGTACGAAATTTTTCGTTGTCCCGGGCGAGCATGGTTTCTCCTCCTTCCAAGTTGAAAATGTTCACTGGAAATGTATGTGTGCTGCTCACTAGTGTATCATTAAAATTAAGTTTCAGAAGTCCTGCAGAAAAAAACAAACAGGAACAAATAAACCAACACTCTTCGGTAACTATCTAAATGCGATCAATAGACCAGGCTTTTGATGCTTTTCTCATAAATAATTCAGTACACTAAAAAATAAGCAAATATATACATTCTCGGCGACTGAAACTATCATTTTCTTTGGAATGAATAAATGGTCAAGATTTTACCTTCCTCGAGGATATCCATATCTGTGTCCTTGAAACAGAACGCGCGTGTTGTGTAATGCAACCACGAGTTCGTAAGATGATCTGAGAGGAACTGGCACTAGTAAAACAAAATGGCGGCTGAAAGCCACGGAGAAAAAAGGGATTATCTGGCCTTTTTTACCCTCCAAATGGGTTAAATTTTCAGTTTTCCTAATTTAATTAATTTATTTTTTGTTGATCATTTGAGTTGATCCGAGTCCAATTTTATTTTATTTTTGTTTTTTTTATTCGATCTGAGTTGGTCCGAGTCGATCCGAGTTGATCCGACCCGGACTGGCAGTCCGAGTTGATCCAGTCTGACTTTTGTACCTGCCTCTTAGATTACTGGATATTTCAGTCCTTTGTTTCATGCAGATATTGAATTCTAAATGAGAAGATACGCTGCTAAAAGGAAGTTTTTGTAAAATGAACTGTGCAGAAAATGGTCATGTGGACTGACCCCACTGTTCATAAAATAAATGTGTTAAAACAGAGAAGACTCCTGATACCAACAAATATATGATGTTATGGTTTAAAGGGTCCATCATATTCCACCTTTTCAGTGAGTTAAATATTGACATTTTAACAGCCATGAAAGAATGCACTGTATGCTTTTACTTGGCCAAGTTGGTTTTACGTGGTCACATGATCAAGTGTTTAATTCACAAAGTCACAGTTATGATTAATATGTATATACTCTCGACCATGACAACTTGAAGTCATTAAAATGTTATGTCTTTAGGGACAATTTTTGTTACAAAATGTTTTGCTGAGGTCTCTATAATTGTTTCCAGGAAATAATTCACATGTACTTTCCTTTACAGGCACCTCTTGTCAGCACTGTCACCTTTTTGGTACAAATGAACACAGTATGTAGAAGTTATTGCTTCCTTATGAGCATGCTCAGTGTGTATTTGTCACTGACCAGATACAGTACAGACCTTTGTAAAAGGAGTAGAAATATTAATACAGTTTAGCAACAAGGCCTAATGTTTTCAGGATGAACATTTAACAGGTTCTAGTAGCCTGTATAACAATGTCAGCTTCATGTATGTGAGGCACAATTAAACATTAGCCAGACTTTTTAATGATGCATGGTAGTTCATTTCCATTCGTGACCAAGGAGCCATATGGCCTTATGATGATCGAGCAGACTGTCTTAATTTGGTTATTATTAATTATTATCATTATTATTATTATTTTTTGTTATTTTTAATGACAGCTCTGAAAAATATTTGTTACACAGTGTATATATGTTATTTTATCATGAGCAAGAAATTTTTTTGCTATCCAATATTTTTTAATACAGTGTAGTAATTATTGGGGTTGTATAAAATGATACCAGCAGTCGGGTGGCAGCAAAAGGTACAACATGCCCAAAGGGTGAGGTGGAAAAGACCTTCTCTTTGCCCCTGAATTGCGACTGTTAGCACAATAGTGAACCATTTTACTCCCACAGTTAATTATAAGTGGAAATAAGTTGAATTTACATAAAAGTAACATTTTGCACTGCAAGTTGTATTGTACCAGAACAATGTAGATACAATGAAACTCAGATCAGTCAGATAGTTGCTCATTGCTAACTAATGGAAATTTGTTTCTCTAGTTAGTTTTAGTTTTAGCGTAGATAGTTTCAATTGAAAGTGAGTGCATGGTTACATTAAGCAGTCTTGTGATCTCTGGACAGTCACTTGACTGTATAGAACCAGAGGTCTCTTGCCTGCTATGTAACCATGCACTTACTTGCGACTGATGAAAGCTAAGTGATTTAGCTGAAATATCTATAATTTCTTCTCGTTGATGTCAATGGAACATGAAATGACCTTTATGGTTTCTATATCAGGAATGTTAATCACATATTGAGTTTTTCACAGGAAAGATCATAACAGACAAGCAGACCATGAACAAAACCAGAAACTAACTACCGTTGCTGCTTGCAGTTTAGTTTCTCATGTGTGATTGGCTTTTTTCCTTGGAACACAATAACATTCCAGAAATATCTCTGCCATAAGTTTTACTGGGCTCCACAGTAATTAAAGGACAGTTAATAATTAGTACCCTGGTGGAACCTCAATATAATGAAGTGCTAAGGGACTGGCAAAATTAAATGTTCGCTATAACAAGGTTTTGTTGCATTGAAGTTCTTTTCCATATATTTTACTATCACTTGGGTAAACAAAACCTTTCGCTCTATTGAGGACTTTGTTATATAGAGGTTTGTTTATTATTGTTATTATTCATCATTATCATTATCGCTCTTTTCATTACTTATTAGTGATTTATTAATGACTATTTGTAACATTTGTAACAATTGTAGTTATATTTTTAGAGTCATTTTTTTTTCAACATTTACTACTAGTGGAAAAATGCTCTAACATGGCATCGAGGACTCTATAGCATTTCATCCCTTGGTTTTTGTATTTCTCTTCCTTTTAATAATAATAATATTGTAATATAATAATATTGTAAGCCATATTGTAATAAATAACTATCAAGGTCCTACCCTAATAGGAATGGGTTCTACTTAGTTTTATATATTAATTATTATATATTTTTGGAGTTTCTAAATATATAGATATTGTCCTTTAACATAGTAAACTCATGTAATAAAGAGTAGAGCAAAAAATTAAAAGACGAGGGAACATGTCTATTGAGCTTCCAAAACATCATTATCTTAACACTGGCCAAATATTTCGTAAAGTGGTACAGGGGCGGATCTAGGGGGAGGGTGCAGGGGGTGCGCCCCCCCCCCTGAGATGACCTGCGGTTTTCTAATACAACTGGCATTCTGCCAAAAAAAAACTATGTGGTTTATTGCTGTTGAAGTAGAGCAAGAGACGAGTGCACCCCCTCCTAAAAAAAT